TGTATAATTTATACAAAAATACGTATCTATATAATGGGGATATATGTTCAAAATTCTTTTCTGAGAGTGTACTATCTAGAGGAAGAGGCATTTGGATAGGATTAGCTCTGGGGACATATTTTAGGGTTTTGTTACATAATATTCTACTCCGATAACCAATTTCTGTGGCTTACCTATTACTTTGTAACAAACTACTATTATATTAACAAAGTATGTCAGAATTTAGTGTGGCTTAAAAAAAATAACCATTTTGTTGACTTGGAATTCTGTCAGTCATGAATTTGGGCAGGACTTGGCTGGGTGGTTTTCTGTTCTACCCGGCATGGGGCGAGGGCTGCGTGTAGCTAGTGACCGGGCTAGGCTGGGAGATCCAAGAAGGCTTCACTCACGTGTCTGACACCTCAGTCCTCTGTGTCGCCTCGCTCGTACACATGGCGTGCTTGGGCTTCCTCACAGCATGGCTGTCTCAAGGGAGTTAGACTTCTTGCCGCTGGCTTTCAGGACAGCACATCTGAGGAAAAGCAAAAGCTGCAAAGACACTGCTTAGAAGTTATATAACACCATTGACTCAGAATTCTGTTGCTGAAAGCTGGCCACAAGACCACGGCCGATTCAAGAGGCAGGGAGATGGACAGCATCTTTCAACGGGAAGAGTGGCAAAGAACATAAGTCTACTTTAAATCCACCACAGGCTTCTTTTGCACATCATGATTTTGTGAGATTCATCTATGTTGTTGCCTATAGTAAGTATTCATTCTTTCTCATTACTGTATAGGATTCCATGGTATGACTATCACAACTTGCTATTGATTCTCCCATTGATGGACATTTGGTTGGTTGTAATTTGGGGCCGTTATAAAGAAAGTTTAATGAAAATACTTGTACATATCTTTTGGTGAACATATGTACTAATTTCTCTTGGGTATATATCTAAGGGTAGAATTGCTGAGTCATAATTAGCCTACAGTTAGCATTACTTCCAATTTTCCAAAATATTTCTGCCAATTTTCACTCCCATCAGCAATGTAGAAGAGACTGAGTGTATCCATGTTTTTGCCAAACCTCGATATCTTTTCAACCTTAGCCATCCCAGTGGATGTGTTGTAGCATCTCATTGTGGGTTTAATTTGCATTTTTCTGATGAGTCATGACGTTGAGCAGCTTTTCATGTATTCATTGGTCTTTTAACTATCCTCTTTTGTGAAATAGTTGTTAAAGTCTTTTGCCTACTTTTTAATTTTTTTTTTATTGATTTGTAGTGGATATAAATACCTTGTACATACCTTTTCTCAGTCTGTGGGTTGCCCTAACAATTTTGATGAACTAAAGTTCTTAATTTTAATGAAGTCCAATGTAACAATCTTTTCTTTCATGAATAGTGCTTTTAGGATTGTGCTTCTCAGGAAATCTGTCCTATCTCAATTCAGAAAGATATTTTCTGATTTTTTTTCCTAGAAGCTCTATGGCTTTACTTACTATATGTGGGATTGTGATCCATTTCAAATTAATTTTTTATATGGTGTGATGTAGGGGTCAATATTTTTTTCATATGAATGTCCAACTGATCCAGAATCATTTATTGAAACACTATACTTTCCCCACTGAATTTTAGTAGCACCTTTGTTGTAAATCAGTTTATCTTACATGTTTTTGGCTCAGTTTTTGGACTTTCTATTCTGTTCCATTGATCTTTTGGTCCATTCTTTCACTACTGTTTGACTTACATATTTTCTAATGTTAAACCAACTTTACATTTCTAGAATAAACCCAACTTGGTTTTGATTTATTAACCTATTTATATATATTGCTCAATATAACAAAGGACATGCATTCAATTTGCTGATATTTTGTTTGGAATTTTTACATCTGTTTCTGAGACAGAACGGACTTTAATTTTTACTTTTCTTCATATATCCTTGCCACAATTTGATGTCAAGGTTATGCTAGCCTCATAAGATGTGCTGGTAAATGCACTCACTTTTCCCATTATTTAGAAGTCTGTGTACAGGGCGCCTGGGTGGCTCAGTCGTTGGGCGCCTGCCTTGGGCTCAGATCATGATCCCAGGGTCCTGGGATCAAGTCCTCTATTGGGCTCCCTGCTCAGCAGGAGCCTGCTTCTCCCTCCCCCAGTCCCCCTGCTTGTGTGCCCTCTCTTGCTATCTCTCTGTCAAAAAATAAATAAAATCTTAAAAAAAAAAAATGTGTACGATGTGTACTATTTCTTTCTGAAACATTTGGTAGAATTTACCATCTTTAACTCATATGAAATTGGGGTTTTCTTAGTGAGGTTGTCTTATACATAGAATCTATTTCTTAAATAAATATAGAATTGTTCAGATTTTCTATTTCTTCTATATACCTCTCAGTAACTTGTATTTTTCTAGGAATTTGTCCATCTCATCAAAATTTCAAATTTATTGGCCTAAAGTTACTGGCTCTATTACAGAATTGAGCAATGGTTAGTGTTGGCTTCTGTGTCTGTCACTTATGTGGAAACTTGGGTATAGTAGCTGCTTGTGCATAAAAGCGGAGCAGGGGTCCTTGCTAGGATTTAAGTCCACCCTTATTAGGCTAGAAGGGCTAAACATATCTCTTTCTGACATACACATTCTTGAGATATGTTAATATGTTCAATCAAGGTGTTCAATAAAATATTGGCCCAGACTGCTCAACTCCTCAGTTCCTTTAAAGGTTTATTATCTCTGTTCTAATTTTATTTCCCTGTTTCCTCTTCTTGGGGTTACCTCAATGTTGCTCCACCATACCACCTCTATGTAGCTCAACTGTTTTCCAGAAATTTACCCACAGGGCGCCTGGATGGCTCAGATGGTTAAGCGTCTGCTTTTACCTCAGGTTGTGATCTCCGGGTCCTGGAGCCCCCTGCTCAGTGGGGGGGGTCTGCTTCTCCCTCTCCCTCTGCCCTCCCCTGCTCATGCTCTCTCTCTCTCTTTCTCAAATGGATAAACAAAATTAAAAAAAAGAAAGAAATATACCCACATTCAAGCTCACCTGCAGCATAAGGCAGAATACAGCTCACTGAGCACTTCCGCCACTGATCATTTCCATTAGACGAAAAAAAAAATCTGTGCCAATCTGATAAGCAAAAATGACACCTGAGCCAGAGTTTTAAGACCTGCATATTAAAGCTTCTCTGTTAAACCCCTCCTCTAAGGGTTTTAACAGAGAAGTCTTATAGTCTAAGAAAACATTTTCTTCCAAAGGGCTGACTTTGCTCAAAACACTCAATTTTCTCTGAAAGAATGGCTGGAAAAATCTGTGACTCATTTCTGTGTCACCACATGTCCAAAGTCTCAAATCAAGGTCTGTCAACTGTTTCAACTCTTTTGCATGTACATGAAAATCTTACAAAGTCATTCATCTATTCAACAAATATTTATTGATCACATCCTGTGAGCTAAGAACTGTTCCAGGCCCTGGATATACAGCAAGAAACAAAAAGACAAAGACAAACTTTCCTGATCTTGTATTTTAGTTCAGTACATTAACTCCTCAGTTGCACATTCAGTACCGCCCCTTCCTGTTCTAATATTTCAACATTTGAAATCAGGGCTGATCTAAAAAACAAAAGGTTTATGATCAAGCTTTTCTTAGGACAGTCCTTAATGCTGTAAAAATAAGGGAAAGTTTTTCAGAAAGAGTCTGAAGTTGCACAGAGCCAAGCCTGGCAAATGACGTGGGCGACACAGATGGACAGAACATTTGTCTAGTGCCATAATAAAATAATGAGACTGACCGCTCCACTGGACTGGGGGTCTCTTGAAGGGTGGGACTCTTTATCTCTCATTTCCCAACTGCTGGCACAGTGCCTGGCATACAGTGGGTGTTTAATAACTTTGTGACATAAATGAATTGACAAGTAAATAAGGAGTAAGTGAATGGAGAGCCAGTCGTTCTCTATTCTCACCTAGTCCATGACTTTAAATACCATCTAGACAGAGAGAACTCCCAAGTGTGTTATCTCCAGTCCAGAATTCACTTGAGAACGCTAGACTCCAATATCAAATTGTCTCCTCATCCGACCTGGAGGTCTTACCAGCATGTCTAACAGGTCCGAAATCAAACTCTTAGTTCCTCCTCTACCCTACTCCCAAACTGGCCCACCCACAGCCTGCCCCACTCAGTGATAACTTCACCCTTCCAGAGCTCAGGTCAAAAATCTTGGAAGCCACCCTTGACTCTTTTCTTTCTCCTACCGCCCACTTCCTGTCCATCAAGTTATCCTTCCGGCTCTACCTTCACAATCTGTATTTCTAGAACCTCTGTATTTCTCACTGTCTCTAGTGCTTTTACCTGGTTCAAGTTACCACTGGATCTTGTCTGGATTATTTTCCTAGTCTCCTGACTTGTCTCCTGCCCTCGCCCCCCCCAGTCTCTTCTCCCCACAAGGGTCAGACTGGTCTGCCAAACGTAAGTCAGGTCGTGTAACTCACCCAATAGCTTCCAAGTAAAATCCTCACCTAATACGAGTAGTATCTGATTCCTACAGAGGAGGAAACTGAGGCACAGGGAGCAGAATGCACCCGGCTCTACCTCAACAGCCGTGTTCTTCCCTCCGGAACCCCATGCCTCTCCCGTGCCAGTGAAAGCCAGAACCGAGTGGACCCGGGGAGCGCTCGCGTCCACGCTGGGGAGGGTGGGCCGCCCCCGCCTCCCTGGCAGCGTGCAGGAGGAAGACGGTCCCGCATCGAGCCGAGCCCGACCGAATCAGCTCAGCAGTAGGCGCGCCCAGTTTCTTCCCGAGCTCGGCTCCAGTTACCTCGACTGGGGAAGGAATGAAGTCTGGGAGGGGGCTGCAGGGGGTGCGGAGCTTCCCTCCCGTAGCGAGCGGAGACGCACCCGCGGCCCCAGGCGCCCGGAATCCAAAGCCGCGGTCTCGGTTTCCGCCCGGTCGGCTCCTCCGGCGCTCCCGGAAGCTGCCCTCGCTGCCCGGGTAACGGGCCGGCGGGGCCGGCGGCGGCGGCGGCGGCGGCGGCGGCGGCAGCGGGGACGCAGTTATGGACCTGGAGGAGGCGGTGAGGGAGCCGGGCGCCCTGCGGGCCCCGCGCCGGGGCGGGAGGGGAGTGAGGCCGAGCGCAGGGGCCGGAGGACGCCGACTGGCTGTGGGGGCGCCACTGGCCGGAGGGGGGCGGGCAGAAGGCTGCGGGGCGGGGAAAGGGATGGGGCTGGCGGGCCGGGTGCGCGAGTATTTTGGGGAGAGAGACTGGAGTTTCTGGCTGGGCGAGGTTGTGCGTGAAGGGAGGGCGGGCCGTTAGTCCATGTGGGTGTGTTTCAGGAGGGGGATGGAGTTGTGGGTTTTATGGGGTGGCCACCCACATGGCCCATCCCCTCTCGGCCGGGCCACCCACAAGTTCCCTTTGATGCCGGGGTGGGCGTGGGAGGGCCCGGGTTGGAACCCGCTGGCTCCTGAGTACCCACCCCGCATCCCCGCCCGTCTCACTGGGGATCCAAATTAGGGTTTGGGCCACTCCAGGGTAATGCTAGCTATCAGTACGGGGTCATTGCAAACTTTACCGACTTGTTGGAATAAATACGGCGTTCATTTTTGACATACTACATAAAATGCTGCATTCTTTGGCCGTATTAAAGGAATATTGGGCGATTAGATCAACGATAAGGTCGAAGACCGGAGAGTTCGGGACCAGTAGTTTAGTGCCCATCAATGTGCGGTGATAGAAGGCCTTGCTCATTATAGATGCTCAATAAATGTCTATTGAATGATGGATGGCTAACGTCTGTACATGCTAAGTTAATGAAATTAATAATTATATCTCACCATTAACCTGCATTTGCTGTGAGTAGGGATCATGTCTGTTTTGCCCACCACTGAATCCCCAGCACCTAGTTAAATGCCTAATGCATACATAGGTAATTCTCCTTATATTGCTGAATGAATAAATAGAAACTTGGAACAGCCCCCATAAAAATCTGATTCTTTTGTGGTATGTGTTTTTAGTGTCATTGAAAAAGTTCCACATGGTATGCAATTTTTATTTTTAAAGTCTTTACTTAAATCTTGTCCTCTTTTTTCCTCAGGGCACTTCCCAGGAGTTTTATTAACTCATCCATTTTTTTTTCCATTTTACCCCTACCACCTTTTCAACTTTTTTTTTCCCCCTCAAACACAGCGTGTTTTAGAAACTTTTTTAATCATTTAATTCCATTCCCAACTATTCAGAAGACTGAACTGTTCTTCTCTTTGTGTATAATTAATCTCTCTGATACATTTTTTATTTTCTATGGTTTTTTTTATCTGTAGGGTAAATTGCAGGGAATGCTTTAGGTAGAACTGCAGGGTTTAGGTGCAATGTATTGAATATGGCTTGATAGTAACACCTTTTCTATCTTCTACAGAAAGAGTTTAAAGAAAGATGCACTCAGTGTGCTGCTGTCTCTTGGGGTCTTACTGATGAAGGCAAATATTATTGTACTTCTTGCCACAACGTTACAGAAGTAAGTAACATATATCATTTATGAATCTGCTAGTGTTTTAAAAATTACAGTTTTAGCCTGATATGTGGCATCATTCCCAAATAATGTATTTTTGTCACTCCTGCAATGCCCAAATTCCAAGAATGTAAGTAGTCTTCAAGTACTTACACGTGAGCTAAGGAATGAGTAATTTAGATTTAGGATGGGTTTTTGAAATGATGTTGGGCCACATTTGTAAATAATTTCATGATTCCGACTGTGTAGTATAAGGGAAAATAATTAAAATTGTACTTAGAAGGTGAGGCATTTCTTTTTATTAGTTAATACTCATGTAAGAGTTTTTAATATATTGTGGTAGCTTAGAGGTTTGGAAGATGGAATGTTAGAAAGATTGAGGACTATTGGGAGTATTGGAAATATACTTCATTGTCATTTTATCTTGTACAGTACCTTAGAGATTACAAAGTGTTTTCTTATTCCTTATTTTATTTTCTCCTCGTAACCACCTGTGAGATAAACTTTTATGCCTATCCGTCGATGGGGCAAGTAGGGCTCATGAGTTTGAGGGAGCTTGCCAAAGTCACACAGGTATAAGGTGTTGAGCCAGGCTGTGAACCTGAGTCTTCTGACTGCAGTGGTCATTTGACCCCATTACACCTGCCTCTTACACTAGAGCTTGTCATACTGTCTTGTGTGTAACCTTGGTCAGTGAGGCCCCCTTCACACTGGGAGTGTGAGGTCCTGTTCCATTTACCACACATTCAGGGCAGTATAACCAAAACAATCAAGGCTGTGGACAGTCTGCTACTGGACAGGCTGAACATGCCAGGACTCCTCTCTGGAAAAAGATTTGCTCAAAGTCTACAGAGCCAGGAAGGAACAAGTATTACATTTACCATATAGACTTAAGAAAGGGAAATTTGGGACAGATGAAAGTAACTGTGTAGACTTCAGCTTTTGGCCAAGATGAAGTAACAGGAACCAGATTTACCTTCCTACTTTAATCAACTAGAAACTTGAGCAAAATATATATAAAACAACTAAAAAAAAAAATTTCCTTTGAGGAAAGTGGCTAATTCACCTCGTTGCTCACACAGAGCTTTTTTTTTGAAACAATCATTGTTCTTCGGTATGCAGCTGAAGTTCTTCTCCCTGCTTCCCACTTAAGTCACAGAATATTAAAAAAATGCTAGCTCAGTGAAATTTTGTGGGTGGTGGATATTTCATTATCTTGATTATGGTGATGGTTTTGTAAAGATGTATATATTTGTATATAGATAGATAGATAGATACACATAGATGTATATGCATATGTATACACATCAACTCATACACTTTGTTTTTTATTTTTTTTTAAAGATTTTATTTATTTATTTGAGAGAGAGTGCATGTACATGCAAGAGAGAGAGCATGGTGGTGGGGGGGGGGCAGAGGGAGAGGCAGAAGCAGACTCCTTGCTGAGCAGGGAGCCCGATGCTGGATCCCAGGACCCTGGAACCATGACCTGAGCCGAAGACAGATGCTTAACTGACTGAGCCACTCAGGTGCCGCTACACTTGTTTTTTTTAAGATTGATTTATTTATTTTAGGGAGAGAGGGAGAGAGCATGTGTGAACATGAGTGTGGGGAGGGGCAGAGGGAGAGAATCTTAAGCAGACTTCTCGCTGAGTGTGGAGCCTGACTTGTGACTCGATCCCATGACCCTGAGATCGTGACCTGAGCTGAAATCAAAAAGAATCAGACCACTCAACCGACTGAGCCCCCCAGGCGCCCCAACGTGTGCACTTTAAATACATGCAGTTTGATCCTCTGTGCTTTGATGCATGTGAGGCACTAACAGTTTTACCCAGGATTGTTTTTGCAGCAGCAGTGCAAATGTAAACACAGCAAAGGATGATTGTGTCTAATTGGACTATTTGCCATTAGTAGATGAAGTCAGCATGCTATTTTTGTGGAAATTAAACTACATTAACTAATTGCCTCTTTTATTTCTGTCTTTGATAATGTTCCTATTTAATTCTGTCTGATAAAATCTACTGCAGTCATTTTAACTTGAAAGATCCTAATACCACTACATTACCTAGTTCCACATTTGAAAGACAACCTGTATAGAGTAACTTGTCAAGAATGTAGCATTCTTTCTTTTTTTAAAGATTTATTTTATTGAGAGAGAGAGAGAATTCGAACAGGGGGAGGGGCAGAGGGAGAGAATCTCTAGCAGACTCTGAGCTGAGCGCAGAGCCTGGTGCCGGGCTTGATCTCACGATCCCAAGATCATGACCTGAGCTGAAACCAAGACTGTGACGCTTAACCAACTACACCACCCAGGTGCCCCAAGAATGTAGCATTCCTGAAGATGGGCAGCATCTATATATAGGCCAAGAACCTAACTCAGTGCCTTCCCATATGATAGGCAGAGCTGTGTATTGTACAACTTCAGTGGTTATTCTTGGCTTTGTGGTACCCCAGGCGTGTTCTTCACGTAGGATATGGTGTGATCCATGCTGCCTGGCTTGTGGTGCTGTAGTGTGGCAGTGTTGATATCCAGTGGGTGGAGGATGGCCAGTGCGATGTGGTTCTAGCTATGAAGAGTAGAGGTCATGGTGCAGCTTTCCCTCATTGCCCTCCAGCTCTTAGCCTGTTTGTAATTTTCAAGCTATGGATACTCACTATAATCTGGAAAAAGGCCTTTTGAGTTAGTAAAAGAACAAGAGTGTTACATTGGTGTATTTTAAACAGGAAAACCTTTTTCAGGTCTTAAATCTGGCCAATTTAGACAATAGATGTTCTTGTAGGTATTTCATAAAGGTATAGGCTAGAATTGTGTGAGTTCAATAGATTTTTATGATTATAACATCAGATTTATTGTAGAAAATTTAGAAATTAATGAAGATGAGAGCTAAAATCACGAGTCATCTTGGGGCACCTGGGTGGCTAAGTGGGTTAAGTGTCTGCCTTTGGCTCGGGTCATGAGCCCGGGGTCCTGGGATCGAGCCCCGCATCGGGCTCCCTGCTCAGTGGGGAGTCTCCTTCTCCCTCTCTCTTTGTCACTCCCCCTGCTTGTGTTTTCTCTCTCTCAGTCAAATAAAATCTTTAAAAATAATAATAAAAATAAAATCACCAGTAATCTCAATATACAACATTTTAATCACTTCCTTTTAAACTCTTTTTTGCTATGTATGGAAGGGAAAGGGGATGTGGGTGAGCGCTTTTGAATCTTCTATCTTAATTAAATATTTTCCTGTGTTATTCTAAACATTTGTGGACAGTTTTATTGCCTGTATATATATCCCACAATATAACCATTTAGTAATTTAATTAATTATAGATCCAGTTTTAGATATTTAGCTTTTTCTAGCTTTTAGTTATTTCACATTTCATTTAGTCCAGATTTTAAGCCTTTTTATCCCTGCCTACTCTTTATACATTGTACCTGTCTTTGTAGGGTAACTGCTTTGGTATGTATTCTGATATGTCTTACGTTTTCAGTGTGGCCAACCCAGCCCACCAGAATGGCTTCGAATGTGGTTTCTATGACTAGAGGAAATACATTCCCCAAATCCTATTGTTAAAGATGTTAATTTTACTCTTAATGAAGGCTGCAGATAAACTTCATTCCAATCTCTAAGTTTAGAGAAATATATAAATGTTGCCTGTTGGTTAAAAATCTTCACCTCTCTTCCCTCATTAAGACTTAATTCTTTTATTTTGGTTGTGAGAGAGGCAGAATCTTAGGTACCAGCCCTTGAGAGCACTTGGAGTTGGAGACTATGGGATGCATTGTACTCGTTATTGAGTCATTCTAAAATTGTGTAGGTTTGATTAAAAATAAAAAGTAGTACTTTTATAATTTCAGAAATGAAAACTGTATTATTCAAATACATAGAAAAGCAGGATGAAACGAATCTGTATGTAGCATAGTGATTGCTGGTTACAATAAATACAGTTCTCCTAATTCCGGAGTGTGTTTGGATGGAGGAAAAAGGGAGCAAATTTGATTTTACCGTTAGGTTTCATTTGAAAAAATTAGAAAGTGACTTAAAATAAAAGTTTATTCATTTTCCAGACTTTTATTTAGTGTTTACTGTGTTCCAGGTACTGTTTTGAGTCGTGAAAAATTTTGAATGAAAAAACAATGTAAAAGTTAACCAAAATGTTACAGTTGATACAATTTTCCCAAAATGTTCCTGTCCTTGGTCCTGGCACTCACAGTTTGGTTCACTGTACTTCCCAGAGCATGCTTGGAAAAACCTTTTGGGAGATGTAAAACTGCCTTTTTAATGGTCTGTCTGTCTCCTGCAGAGATCTAAGGAAGTCATAAACACTGGGGCTATCCCTAACACTAAAATACAAGCCATCAGCCGGGGACTTAAAAGAAAAAGAAAACTTGGTAAGCCCTTTCTTCATATGTGCTTAGGGATGTGCAATGGAATCTTAAGTAGGTTCTCGAGAAGTTGCCAGAGTTGTAAACAGGTCATCCAAAGTAGAATTAAAGTGGGTGATCGTTGATGGTAAAATTGGAAGTAAATGTCTTGAAGCATATCCCGTTTTTATCCTGCTTATGGTTGTGAGTTGCTTTTCCAGTGGAGCAACTGTTATACAAAAAAATCATAATGGACTGTATTCCTTCTTATCTGTCGGCATATGTTTCTCTGTTCTATGTCCTCTATTCAGAATATGATTTTCTGTGCTTTTAAAGAAAAACACTTACTTTCTGAAATGGTTCATGTATGGAATTATCAGGTTAGGCAAGTTCAACGTGATGTTCAACTTTTAGAAATCTATTTCTCACATTGAATTTTGAACACACCCTTTTAAAATAGGAAAATTATTTTCCTTAAAATAATCTCAGCATGGTTGTGCTTTGAAAGGTAATCTACCTCATTAGTCCAGTGAGTACATATAATTAACCATTATTGAGAAGATTCTGAGGTAACGTCTAACTGATGCTTTTTATTTCTGTGACTACCTAGGGCCAGATTCTCCAGTGTGAAACCAAGGTAATGACAGTGGTGGATCCTTGTAGGTGAGGTAGCTTTAAGGACACGCACACATGAAATACAGACATATAAGTGTTAGTGAAATATCTCTATGAAATACATTGATATTCTTAGTTGAGTAACAGAGAGAATGCCGAAATGGTAACTCGTGTTTCTGTTTAACCTTTAACGGTGACTATTTTTATTAGGCTAGAAGCTGGTTACTTTTTAACTAAATTTTATTAGAGTAAAACTTGATTAATTTGGATTTGACTTAGGTAACTAAAATGTATAGTTTCAACTTAAATTGCTACAGTAAATTTAGATGCTTCAAATTAGCTGTCAGGTGTCTTATATTCAACTTCTTTGACCCTGCATAGTTTCTTCATCTGTAAAATGAGAATGTAATACCATTTGTCACGTAAAACAGAAACTCTGAATTCAAAATACGACTTTGCCAGTTTATAAGAGCCATGTTCTGGAAGAAGAGTGCGCACAGGTACAGTTTGAAGAGTTTAAACTTGCTCAACTTCAGAATGCATCAGAATTAGAGGCTTTCTCTTTTACTTATATATAATCCAAGAAATTGAGGTAGTCAGCAGGGTGAGGAGTAGGAGTCCTGTGACATTCTGCAGGGGAGGGGGATCTTGGGGTCCTAGTAACAGACTTCATAAGCTAAGTGTAAAAGGTGCTGATAACATGTTTTTCAAAGAGTTGTAATATTTATCCAGCAGGGAGGAGTAAAACATTAGGCTCTTAACAGATTTTAACATTTTCTTTATCTTCTAGTTCTCTTTTAACACGTAGCTCTGTCTGTGGTGGTGGCATATTTCTTCACAGTCTCTTAGGGTTATTTTGAGGATTAAAGAAAAGAACTTACTTAAAATACCTAGTACATACCTGATGCCTAGGCGGGGCTCAGTAAGTATTAGTTTCCTTGCTTCCAATGTCTACCTGTAGCCTAGAACTATTTCCAGAAAAGCAGAATGCCATCGAACAGTTTATTTTCTCTGTATGTTCTTGTTGCTCTTTCCTGCACTCCTGGACCATCACATCTTGGCTTTTGTTCATTCATTCTCTAAATACTCATCGTTCCCTTTCTTTGTGAGTTCGAACAGAGAAGGGGAGAAGCAGAGGCTGAGTACTGAGCACTCTTTCCTTTAGGATTCTGCTGAGTACTGTCCAGTACAATACATTTCATTGTTCAGTACATACTTTTAAAACTTACTTCATTTTTTAACATGGTGACTATTCATTTTTCTGCCCTACATTAATATTTCAGAAAAATTGTAGATAATTTAAAATATTTAAAATCTGAAAAATAAAAATGGGGTTTAGCTTTAGCATCTGTGTACATATTTGCCGGATTGGAAACGGGAGTATAAGGATGGAAACCCTATTCAGGAATACAAGACAATTCCAGCTGTGATGTGTAAAACACAGTTGTAACTCTGTAGTAGCATGTAGTAAATAGGAGTGCAAATGTCTGAACCATGTTATTTGTCATTTAGAGAAAGGCTGGGATTGGTATGTGTGTGAAGGTTTTCAGCAGATACTTTATCAACAAGCAGAAGCCTTAAAGACCCTTGGAGTAGGCCCAGAATTAAAGGTAAGTCCGTTCATGTCTAGATGTTAGCCTTACATTTTGTTTGAAGCACAGTAAGATTTGGAGTGAAACTAAGGAGAAAAGTAGGGTTATCAGTAATGACACTAGCTCCTGGAAGAATCATTTTTTCTGATGTTTTTGCTTTAATCCTTTTATTAGACCATTAATTCCCAAAGTGTGTTCTACGGGATATAAATAAGCAGTACAACCAAAAGAAAATCAAAAAGGTTTTAATCTTAAGATATTTAGGAAAGATTGGGTTAAATAAAGTAAAACAAATAACTTTGCAGACTACTTGGTGTCTTTTATGTGTTAATGTGCTTCTTTGATTTCCAAAGGGATGTGTAGTATGCAGTATTCACAATTTGAAAACAAGGGGCCTCTGGGTGGCTCAGATGGTTAAGCGGCTGCCTTCGGCTCAGGTCATGATCCCAGGGTCCTGGGATCGAGCCCCACATTGGGCTCCCTGCTCAGTGGGGAGCCTGCTTCTCCCTCTCCCTCTGCCTGCCGCTCCCCCTGCTTGTGCTCTCTCTCTCTCTCTCTGTCAAATAAATAAATAAATAAATAAATCTTTAAAAAAAAGTAAAAACAAAAAACAATTTGAGAACAAAATCCTTTAGTGTGTATATATGTATGTAGCATTGATCAGGACTTGAGTTCCAGAATGCGCTTTGGGGAGTAATATATTAAACCAGTGGTTTTCAACCTTGAAAGTGTACTAGAATCACCTGAAAGGTTGGTTGAAACAAGATTACTGAACCTCATTCTAGAGTTTCTGATTTAGTATGTCTGGAGGAGGGCATTTCTAGCAAGTTCCCAGGTGACACTGAGACTGCCGGTCCAGGGACCACACTTGGACTTTGCTGCCCCTCCAGAGTACCACAGTATCCCTGCTGTTGTGTGAATTTCATGTTGCTTCATCTGGTTGAAGCCATTTCAGGAATTCTTTAAAAAGCCAGTTATTTAGGGGCGCCTGGGTGGTAGTCATTAGGCGTCTGCCTTTGGCTCTGGTCGTGGTCCCGGGGTCCTAGGATCGAGCCCCGCATCGGGCTCTCTGCTGGGCGGGAAGCCGGCTTCCCCCTCTCCCACTCCCCCTGCTTGTGTTCCCTCGCTGTCTCTCTCTCTTTGTCAAAATAAATAAAATCTTTAAAAAAAAAAAGCCAGTTATTTAGCAACAAGTGGTTATTGCACACTTGCTTAGTGCCCATTATTGGAAACCAGGTGCTAAGAGATCCAGCCTAGTTGGAGAGAGGGTTTTATGCATATGTGGAATGAGTAAACATGAAATGATAGGACGATGTGATCATAAGTGACATTAAGGGCAAAAAGAGAAGGTAGAAAGATCAATGTGGACTGAAGTCACCAAGGAAAGATTTATAAAGGAGCCTTTGCTGTTCAAACCAGTGTTTGGGGCAAGCCAGCAAGAATGCCCTCTAGATCGATACATGACCTAGGAGGACTCTGGGCTGACCCTGAAAAGTATTTTAGGATTTAAAAATACAAAAACATAAGAGACCAGATGGTACCCATGGTGGTAGTCTGGGGGTTTGTGAAACTGGTTTCTTTCAAGTCATCCTATGTTATAAATGCTTTGTAATTTATAATTTCATATAGTTAGACCAAATAACTACAGTAGGGTTTATTCCTATATAGTTTTCTACCCACTTCATCAGGGTTAATTCTGAAAACAGTTTGTCTGAAATTAGCCAGTGAACATACCTGTTTAGACCTGACCATTTAAATGGCACAGGAATGGCATTATGCTAAGAACACAGGCTCTGGAATCAAAACTAACTCCAAATCCCATTAATGGATTTTCTACTTATTGGCTGGGTCATTTTTGGCCAATTTACTCAGTTTCTTTAGTGGTAAAATGGAGATAGTAGTTATCTTGCAGTGTTGTATTAGAGCTAATGGATGCCTCATACCTAGTAGGTGATGAATAAATAGAAAAGTTGTTTTGTTTTGTTATCTTATTTTCCTTCCACTTGGACCCAATAGCAGCTTTGCCTCTAACTAGAAGTGTGATCACATATAAGTTGCTTTCTTTCTCTCATTCTTAATATACTAAACTTACAAAAGGAAGGGATTCAACTAGGTGATCTTTATGGAATTAGTCTCTTCTTTAAAAATCTAAGATTATGAAGAATTTATTCAGTGTTTCCCATATACCTGATTTTGTGATGATAATTCTTTTTATGGGTAGAAAGGTAATACATTTAGATGGAGGGCAATACAAATACCAGTGTATTTGTCATAATCACTACTCATTTCCCTTCTACCTTAGGATGAAGTTTTACATAATTTTTGGAAGCGTTACCTTCAGAAGAGCAAGCAGGCATATTGTAAAAACCCAGTTTATACCAGTGGAAGAAAAGCTACGGTAAGTCACAAGTCTGAGAAGCAGGATGAAAAGCCATTTCTAGTGTGAGGTAGAGATGAAGACAGGTCCAACCTCATCTGGATTTATGATGTTTGTCACAGAATTGTCAGTGAAGAGGTTTTTCTTGTAGTCCAGAAGGACAGGGTCACTGATCTAGACATTGGAATTAATTTTAACTTCTTACTTGACTAGTTGAAACAAATTTATAGTTAAGTTCTAAATAGAAGCTTAAGAACTTTCCATTAATTGTAGTACTAGAAAAAAACTTTTTTTGCATATTTTTCCTTTTGCTTGGAATACCCACGTACCTGGTATTTCATTATTCGGCTCAGTTATCTCTACTCAGCAGTCTTTATGTGAAGAAAATAAGTCTGGATGCCTCACCACCCCCTCCCACATCCCCCAGAGCATTTATATTTTTAGTTTGCATTTAACTGCTTTATGAATGTGCCATGGGACATTTTATTGGGGTAGGAGAAGATTCCACCACTGAGAAAGGCAAGTTTGATAAACTGATAGGTTTGATGTGTGGTGCTTATTCTCCAGGGCTGAGAAGAGATTCTGAATCTATTTGACACACATTTCTTAAGAGCTTGGAGACTTGGCCCAGTGTTTCCTTGTTTGGTTGGGGTTGCCTAGGTTCCACATGGAGAGTTGAGTGATCCAGGACTGAGAAACCCAGGTCTGGGAGAAAGGAATAAGTTCTGAGAATGAGAAGTTTAGAGGAGCTAAGCCGTGAGAGAGACAATGATGGAAGGGGGACTGACCTAAGCAATTAGTGTAGGAAACTTCCTTTTTGAATCTGGGACAGTGCATTTAAATAAACTCAAGAGGAATAACTTGAATTTACTAGAACAGACAATTTTATAATGATAGAGTTATGAAACATTATCCTCTCTTGATTCAGGAGGCAGGTGCTTCTCAAGAAAAACAAAAGCTATGGGGCACCTGGGTGGCTCAGTCATTAAGCATCTGCCTTCGGCTCAGGTCATGATCCCAGGGTCCTGGGATCAAGCCCGCATCAGGCTCCCTGCTCCATGGGAAGCCTGCTTCTCCCTTTCCCACTCCCCCTGCTGTGTTCCCTCTCTCACTGTGTCTCTCTCTGTCAAATAAATAAATAGAATCTTAAAAAAAAGAAAAAGAAAAACAAAAGATGCTATGTGGTTCTCAGGTGACACTTTGAAAGAGAATAGAAAAGAAAGAGCCATCCAGGCTATTAAGAATCTGATCTTGGGGCGTCTGGGTGGCTCAGTCATTAAGCGTCTGCCTTTGGCTCAGGTCATGAGCCCAGGGTCCTGGGATGGAGCCCCATGTCAGGCTCCCTGCTCAGCAGGGAGTCTGCTTGTCTCTCTCCCCACTCTCTCTCTCTCTCTCTCAAATAAATAAAATCTTTTTTAAAAAATCTGATCTTTAGAATTACATAGCTAAGGTATTGGTTGGTTATATTTGTACGCTGGGGGTTTGCCTAGCACATAGAAAACTTTGAATCAGAACCTGGAATTCTCTCTGACATTTTAACATTTTTAGTTTAACTTAAGATATTTAAAAAGGTTTTGTTAACTTGAATAAACACCTGTCTAAAGTAATATTAGCATCACACTAAAATCTTCTTGATGAATAAATAAGCAGTAAGCAAAATTTTAACCTGATGTACAAATTGGCAATATAGTGTTTATTGAAGAGTACAGCTATTTTGAATATACTCTATTTTGGTTTTTTGTTTTTTTGTTCTTTTTTAAAGATTTTATTTATTTGACAGAGAGAGCATAAGCAGAGGGAGAGAGAGGGAGAAGCAGGCTCCCTGCTGAGCAAGGAGCTGGATGTGGGACTCGATCCCAGGACCCTGGGATCATGACCCGGGCCGAAGGCAGCTGCTTAACCGACTGAGCCACCCAGGTGTCCCATACTCTGTTTTGAAAGGAAAAAGGAACGAGTACTTTTAAGTTAGAAGCTTAGTCTTTGGGGCACCTGGATGGCTCAGTTGGTTAAGCTTCTGCTTTCAGCTCAGGTCATGATCTCAGGGTCCTGGGATCGAGCCCCACGTCAGGCTCTCCGCTCAGCGGGGAGTCTGCTTGTCTCTCTCCCTCTGCCTGCCGCTCTCCCTGCTTGTGTGTGTGCATGCACACACTCTCTCTCTCTCTCTCTGTCTATCAAATAAATAAATAAATCTTAAAAAAAAAAAAGAAGAAGAAGAAGCAGCTTAATCTTCTCCAGTATGGTACCGGCACCAAAACAGACACATAGATCAATGGAACAGAATAGAGAACCCAGAAATGGACCCTCAACCCTATGGTCAACTAATCTTCGACAAAGCAGGAAAGAATATCCATTGGAAAAAAGACAGTCTCTTCAACAAATGGTGTTGGGAAAATTGGACAGTCACATGCAGAAGAATGAAACTGGACCGTTTTCTTACACCATACACATAAATAGATTTAAAATGGATGAAAGACCTAAATGTGAGATAGGAATCCATCAAAATCTTAAAGGATAACACAGGCAGCAACCTCTTCGACCTCAGCAGCAGCAATTTCTGGCTAGACACGTCTCCAAGGCAAGGGAAACAAAAGCAAAAATGAACTATTGGAACTTCAGCAAGATAAAAAGCTTTTGCACAGCAAAGGAGGTAGTCAACAGAAGCAAAAGACAACTGACAGAATGGGGGAGGATATTTGCAAATGTCTTAATCAGATAAAGGGCTAGTATCCAAAATCTATAAAGAACTTATCAAACTTAACACCCAAAGAACAAATAATCCAGTCAAGAAATGGACAGAAGACATGAACAGACATTTCTGCAAAGAAGACATACAGATGGCCAACAGACAAAGGAAAAAATGCTCAACATCACTCTGCATCGGGGCGTAATCAAAACCGCAGTGAGATACCACCTCACACTGGTCAGAATCGCTAAAATTAACAATTCAGGAAACGACAGATGCTGGTGAGGATGTGGAGAAAGGGGAACCCTCTTACACTGTTGGTGGGAATGCAAGCTGTTGCAGCCACTCTGGAAAACAGTATGGAGGTTCCTCAAAAAGTTGAAAATAGAGCTACCCTACCACCCAGCAATTGCACTACTAGGGATTTACCCCAAAGATACAAATGCAGCGATCCAAAGGGACACCTGCACCCATTGTCTATAGCAGCAATGTCCACAATAGCCAAACTATGGAAAGAACCCAGATGTCCATCGACCGATGAATGGATAAAGAAGATGTGGTTTGTATATATAGAATGGAATATTACTCAGCCATCAAAAAAATGAAATCTTGCCATTTGCAATGACGTGGATGGAACTAGAGAGTATTATGCTAAGCGAAATAAGCCAATCAGAGAAAGACAATTATCATATGATCTCATGTATGGAATTTAAGAAACAAAACAGAGGATCATAGGGGAAGGGAGGGGAAAAATAAAACAAGATGAAATCAGAGAGGGAGACAAACCATAAGAGATTCTTTTTTTTTTTTTTAAGATTTTATTTATTTGACAGAGACACAGCGAAAGAGGGAACACAAGCAGGGGGAGTGGGAGAGGGAGAAGCAGGCTCCCCGCTGAGCAGGGAGCCCAATGCGGGACTCCATCCCAGGACCCTGGGATCATGACCTGAGCCAAAGGCAGACGCTTAACCAACTGAGCCACCCAGGCACGCCAAGAGATTCTTAATCATAGGAAACAAACTGAGCATTCCTGGAGGGGAGGGGCCTGGGGGTACGGGGTAACTGGGTGATGGACATTAAGGAGGGCACGTGGTGTAATGAGCCCTGGGTATTATATAAGACGATGAATCACTGAACTCTACCTCTGAAGCTAATAATACACTATATGTTAATTAATTGAATTTAAATTAAAAAAATTGAAAAAAAAGAAGTTAAGTCTTCTCAAATATTCAGTAATTTCTTCATGCTTTGAATGTGACTGCACCAAGAATAGTAAGAGGCCTGCATCTGAATCCTGGCTCCACCACTGTGACTTGTGTGATCTTGGGTGAGATAAATTACTTAAAACTTCCAGAAAAAATGAACAAGCAATTATTATAAATCAGGGTAGGGTAAGGGAGATAGAAAATGGTGTGGCAGGAAAGGGTTCTATTTGTGATGTGATCAGGGAAGCCCTCCTCTCCCTGATCGGGAATCTTAGTTGAGAGTAAGCCATGAGGGATATCTGGGGGAAGAAATGCAGAATTTCAGGCCTCACCCAGACCTACTGAATCAGAATCTGCATTTTTAACACAGTTCCTAGGCGCTTCCTATGCACACTAAAGTTTGAGAAGCCCTCTTCCAGATAAGACATGGTGGTGGCTGGGACAAGGTGGTAGCAATGGAAATGATAAGTGCTAGGATTCTAGATAAACTTTGGATAGGGTCATCAGAATTTCCTGATGGGTTGGATGTAGGGTGTGAGAGAAAGAGGAGTCATCAAGGATGACTTAAGTTTGGGGCCTGGTACAGCAGGTGGAACCGGAAGATCTATAGTTCCATTTTGGACACGTTAAGCTTGAGACAGCTGGTAGATATCTACGAGGAAATTCCAAGTACTTAGATTTATAGGTCTTCAATTCAGGAGAGAGGACTATGTTAGAGATAAAAATTTCGATGTTGTTAATGTACATTATAATCATCACATCTTAAATGCCATTGTTTGGAAGATACACCATTATTTTAAATATCCCCAAGAAAGAAAATAATGCTGCAAATCAAACTGTGACATGCCATTGGTTGTAAGATACACCCTGATGTCAGGGATACTAAAATATGGGGAAAAGGCAGTGCATTTTAGAGTCGAAAACAACATTGTAGGTAGTTTTTAAAACCACAAGACCAGATGACATCACTGAGGAGTGAAGACAAGGGGACCAAGGACTGAGCTCTGGGCCACTGTCGGATGAAGATGTCTGGGATAAAAGTAGAACCTACAAAGAACTCTGAGGAGCAACTGGTAAATTAGGAGGAAGCCTGGAGAGTGAGGGGGCATTCTGGAATCCAAGGAGCAAAATGTTTCAAGAAGAGGGGAGTGCTCAACTGGGAAATGCTGCTGCCTGGTCAGGAAGAAAAAGGGCTAAAAATGGATGAGTAGAACAGTGGAGTCACAAGTTTGATTAGAATGAGGTATAAGATAGACTGGGAAGAGAGAAATTGGAGACAGTGAGTCTGGATAACTCTTCCAAGGCATATTGCTGCAAAGAAGTACATAGAAATTATATTGTAGCTGGAGTCAAGGAAAGTTTTTCTTTTTTTAAGTGGATAAATGATAGCATATTTGTGTACCGATAGAAATAATACAGGAGAGAAGAGATTCTCAATGCGGAGAGAGAAAATAGAAATGAGGGATAATCTTTGAGTAGAAAGGGTGGGATTGGGTGCCCAGAGGGAGAAACTGGCTTTTTTTTTTTTTTAGATTTTATTTATTTATTAGAGAGAGAGAGCATGCACAAGTGGTGGGGAGGGACAGAGGGAGAGGGAGAAGCAGGCTCTCCACTGAGCAAGGAGCCTGACGCGGGGCTTGATCCCAGGACCCTGAGATCATGACCTGAGCCAAAGGCAGTTGCTTAACCGACTGAGCCACCCAGGCACCCCGAAACTGGCTTTTTAGATGGCAGCTTGGATAGTCCACCAGAAGAATCAGACAGAGAGTAGAGTATGTGGTCAACTTCCTGGTAGATGGTTGTCTGCATAAGCTTGTGGACATTTTCTTCTGTGATTGCTTCAAATTTCTCAATGAGTCCATGCTTGTCTGCCAGTTTTATGGTGTACCTTGTCTCATATGCTTACCTGTAGAGAGGGGAAGTACTTGACAGATGACACAAGCATCTCATCCCTGATTTTTTTTTGCTTTATTCTCTTGTGAGTTTCCTTAACATGAGTCTTACCTCCTCTTGTTAAGATTGAGTTTCTTGGTCTGCGTGGCTGATAATGTGGCTTTTTAACTGTGATCAGTTTCCCCAAGGTTATGTCAGCTAATGAGGCCTTTAGGTAGCCAGCCAGCTGACCTTTCTTAGGAACGCTCTGACCACCATTTCAACAATACATACATGAAAAATTAAACGATGGTATCAGTTAGTATATCCCTGTCAGTTAAGTGTTATAAATAGTAAAGTGCCACAGGAGTTCAGGAAATCGCGAACTCACTGAAGAAGAGTTGGTTGGAAAGACTGCATGATAGAGTAAATAACGAATTAGAGAGAAAGAGAAGAAAGGCTAGTCTGGGCAGGAGAAATGGAATTAACAAAGATACAAAGCAAAAATTCCCAGGTAGGCTCAGTGAAGAGAAGCCAGCATTGTGCAGGAGTCATTATTGATGTTTTTATTGGTGTGGCCACTAGGGCTACAAGAAAGATGTTAGTTAGAGGGAGAAGGAAGCCTGATGTGTCTGCTGGCAGCCTGTTCCCTTGCTCACCCTTGTCTGTAGCCTTCCTCCAGAAGTGTTCCAGGAACAGCTGGGGAGCACGTTGTGGAGGTAAAAGTCTTTTAGTTTTAGGAACATGGCAGATGGTTGCAGTTCTCTAGAGTAGTTTACTTTATGGTGTTTCAGATGGGCAGGACTTGGAAGCTCTTGGAAATTAATTGCATTTTAAATTCCAATGTAATAATTTTATCTGTGATATTTTGCAAATAGGTATTAGAAGATAACCCAAGTCATTCAGACTGGGATAGCGAGCCTGACCTGCTGAGTGACTTTAGCTGCCGTTCTTTTGTTGAAAGTGGAACAGACTCTCAGCCTGATGGCCGCCTTCAGAAGCCTTTCCCCATCAGCAGAGCATCACAATCAGGTAAAAATGAGAATCAGACTATCTGGAATTTTAAAGCTGATAATGTGCCTTAAAAATAGTTTAGTCTAATCTTTTCATATTCCAAGAAAAGGAACTTGGCCTAGGAAGAAAAAATGATTTGCTAAATCATTTGGCTAGGAGAAAGGTAAATGAAATCTTAGTGCAATTTTTAAAAAGGTACATTGTTTCTACATGAGTATTTTTGTGTGATTTTTAAAGGAACTTAAATAATACGTGGATCCAGAGAGAAGGAAGCCAGCTCAACAGAGATCATATATATGCGGGCTCAGAATTTTCAAAGAAAAGTTGCAATAGAGAGATGATAGATCTTGGCCATATGGTCAAGTAGGTAAGAGTCAAAGACGATGTGTCCGATTTCTAAGTGTAGACTGAAGCAAAACTTACGGTATCATGTGTATGTGTGTGAGTTTTACTCTCTGATTTAATTCCATAATCTAAAATAGGTAAGGAGTATGTTTAAGGTAACAGATATAGACCTTCTCAAAGTATTTATTCATGATTTTTGTGGTTTCCACGCTACATTTTTTTTTTTTTTAAAAACAACATGATGGAAAACAGACCTCAAAGAACAGACCAGGCTCTTATTATAGATTACTAGAATCTTGATGTGTGCTGACAGAGTTCTTTGGGAAATAGCTTCCAAACCGTCTGGTGTTAGGGATTGTGGAAATCTGGATTGTGTGGTTATATAAAATTTTCAACAAAACGTTTTTTGTATGGACTGCTGCTTTGCAAGCCTCTTGCCCTCCAAAGAGTAAAAATTCCTTTTATCAGTATATCCGCATTACTTGCTGGACTGCACAGTGACACAGATATCAGATAAGTTATTTTCTGTGTCCAAAGAAATAAAGAAGTTAGGATCATAGAATAATTGGGCAGCAGTGAATCTCTGGAGTTTCTGGCTCCATGCTTTCAGGCAGGCCTGAACTCAAATTGTCCCAGACAACTAGGACTCTCAAATCATCCAAGCCTTTTAGAGCACCATGATTGTTTACCTATGTTAAGAGTTTTTGTTTGTGTGTTTGTTTTTTAGTAAGTGATGATCCTTACAGCTTTATTTTAGTTTTTACATTTAAAGTAACTACGAATATAACCCTTATTTCAAAATTCTAAAATACAAATAGTCACAAAGAAAAAATCACCAGTTATTGTGCCATCCAAAAATAACCACATTGCTATGGTAGATCATTCCAGAAAGTTTTTTTATTCATGTATATATATAGAGAGAGGGAAAGAGTTTTATTATTTTTTTTACAAAAATGTGTGCTATTCTTTACACTTTTAATCAAAATCCTACGTGCGTTCACAAACTAATGATGTAATGTATGGTGATTAACATAACAATAAAAATACTAGAAAAAAAATCCTACGTGCATGTAATTTAAAAATATTTATAAAGCTTGTTTGAAAAAGTTATAGTCCCTTGTTCCCCTAAATGTGCTATTCCCAAGAGGCATTCATTTTCAGCTCTTCTGCAACTTAATAGCTCCATATCATATGCTTCTAGTACTACATCTTGATTTCTGCTTTTGGACATTAGCTACTAAATTCCCACTATAAAAGATGAAGTCTTGGCTGTTTCACACATTCCTGACTGCCCCTCTCCCATGTAGTCACCAGCACACAATTGTGCATTTCTTTTTCTCTTTCTTCCCAATATAATTATAATTTTTTACTAGCCCAATATTTAATGTGAGCCATATAGCTTACTATGATTACATTTCTATACATATTTTTGTTTTCCCAGAGTTGATAATTGCCTTGTTACTTATTTATTTTCTATTTATTTTATTACTAATCTATAATTTATTAGTAGTATATCTCCACATTTCCTCCCAGTTCTGAAAATCTCTCAATTTCTTAGGTATTCTACCAATTTCATATTCTGGAAGAAATCTTTATGGAACTTCTGACCTACTCTAATCTACAAGGATGTATCTCTAAACCTATGACCCAGCAATCTTTGGGATCTCTTTACCAACATCCTGAAGATTTTCTTATCCCTCTTTTGTTAAATTCCTTATTTCCTTGACTGTGTTTCATCTTTTCCTGGTTTACTCCATCATTTTTGTAGTGCATCTTTTCTTATTTTACTGAGGATATTGTTATGATATTGATGATAATATTCCCCCTTGACTTGATCCTTTTGTTTTCTGCTTTTTGTATTAGAGGGTTTCTTCAAATGTTTATGAGCCTATTATGGCTAGTCTTCTTAAGAATGGAGACTAAAAAATTGAGTGAAAGCCTTCTACCCATGGAGAGTTTTGTCAGTTGTGCTGTGCATGATCTCTCTGGATTATTTTCTTAGCAAGCCTCCAGCATTATCGTCTTTAAATCTTTTCCCCCTGAGCTGATAGGATTTTCAAGAGAAATCTCTTTGAGTCATCTGTTTGGAGGGTGTAATCCTGGCTGTTCTAGGAACTAGGTGGGTAGAAGGCCTGAGGGGTGTGTGGGGGTTGGGGGCTGTCTCAGTACTCAATATGTACACTTTCACTTAATCTTCCTGTTTTTAATAATATACCCTATTCTCAACTGTGTATATGATTGACATGCCCTATTCTAGAGACCCTTTGTTTTACTCTCTCCAGAGGAGAAACTTCCAATTTTCTGCCCAGATTAGGAAGTGGGGGGCAGGCATTTGCTGCACAGAGTTGGGGCAGGAGCCTGAGTATCTGACTGCTTTTCAGTCAACTTTCGGGCAATCTCTCTTGTGTTAGACCTACTTTCACGCAATTTCCAGGATTTAACCAATTCTGGAGCTTTCTTTAGGGGTCCCCAGGGGAAAGTTACATTGGTTTATAGTTTTCCCTTCTGCTAGCTTTGAATCCAGCTTTCTCAACACTGCTAAGGCAGTAATTACCTGTACATATGCTTTCCGGCTTTTAAAATTTTATTGCTGTTGTCTCCTCCATGTTGTTAGTTCTTGAGTTCATATCTATCTTAAAAATTCCTGTATAATTGTTGTAGTGGAACAGAGCAGAGGCTACTGTGTGTCTTCAATCTGCCATCTTAACTGGAAGCCTCTACATGTTGGAGAGCCTCTCTCTATTTTATATATATATACATATATATTAACATAATACTTTATTGAAATCTGTATATATATATAGATTGGTAGGCTCAATAATTTGCATCTCTATAAAGTTCTCAGGTGATGCTAATACACCTGGTATAGGGACTATACTTTGAGAACCACCGACTTAAGCATTGAGTGAATTGGTATGTCGTATTCCATTGTGTAGAGTTATTTAATTAAATTTCTACTCCTGTCACTTTGGTTGTTTTAAATTTGTTTCATGTTATAAACAGTACTGCCACAACATGCCTTGACCCTGAATCTTTGCATATTTTATTTATTTATTTAAAATATTTTTTTATTTATTTGTTGGAGAGAGAGAGCATAAGCAGGGGGAGCGGCAGGCAGAGGGAGAAGCAGGCTCCCTGCTGAGCAGAGAGCCCGATGCGGGACTCGATCCCAGGATCCTGGGATCATGACCTGAGCCAGGGGCAGATGCTTAACCGACTGAGCCACCCAGGCACCCCTTCTTTGCACGTTTTAAAAATCTTTTCATTCTGGTGAAAATCTTGAACTGCTAGCCTCTTTGTCACCAAATATTTATTGGGTTCCTCCTTTGTGCTAGAGCCTGCTTGGGGCCCTGGGGACACAGTGATGAGCAAGGTTGTCTGCCTTCAAGGTGCTTAGATTGTTGTAGGAGGAGCTGGACAGTAAGTGCACACATTTATTAAGAAGTTCAGTTATCGATAAATGCTATGAAGAAAAGATTTATAGGATTTGGAAAGAGGAATTTTGAGAAATAATTTGGAGAGTTTTGTCCAAGAAAGCATGGAGTCTCTTGAGGTCATTCTTAGTCCTGCTTTCTACTTATCCTACTTTTGGCTTTAAATAGCAGCTACATCCTGATGACTCAGAAATTTCTATCTCTAGGTTCTTTTCTGAACTACAGATTTTTATATTCAACTACCTACTTACCATTTCCATTTGTACAGTTAATAGGATCTTACATTTAACACCTGCAATTCTAAAACCTTGATTTCTTTCATCAAACCTGCTCTTTTGCTTTCTCCCTTGTCTCAGTAAGTGGCATTTTCATTCTTCTGGTTGCTCAGGCCCAAACTCTCAGGATCACACTTGAGCCTTCTCTTTTTCTCTCATATTTCACATCCAGTCCACCAGCAAATTCTTCTGACCCTGGCTTCAAAATATGTCCAGATTCCAGCCACTTCTCACCACCTGCACTGCCACCACTCCAGTCCAAGTGCTCGTCATTGCTGTCCTTAATGTTGGTGGTCTGTGTCCACTCTGGCCCTCCTATAGCTCCATTCTTCCTGTAGCAGCCAGAGAGAGCTTTTTAAAAATACAAATGAAATCAGGTTGTTCCTCTGTTTAAAACTCTCCAGAAACTTCTTATAATATCCAGAATAAAATCCAAAGTACAAAACATGACCTACAAAGTCCTGTGTACTCTCCTAGCTAGTGTTTTGGAGAGCCTCTCAGACCTTTAAAGGGACATGTGGGTTGGGGCCTGCATCAAAGCAGTTATATACTTTTTGCTTTGCTTTGTAATTGTTTATTATTGTATTTATTTGAAAAATTGTTCCTATTCACTTTAAGAAATTCAAGCATTCTAAAAATCCCTCTTTAGAATCTCAGCCCATCCCACTCCCATAAAGAACCAACGAGTACCTTTTTGGTCAATTTCCTCTAAGCCGTCATTGCACTTTATTGCCAAATTGTTCTTTTAAAGATTGTATCAATTATAACTTGATTTTAAGATATTGAAAATGCTTCTTTGGATTCTTCTTGTTGTTTTGCTTCTTTTGTTGTCCAAATAGTTACCTGCACTTAAAAAAATTCTTCATTATCCCCTAAGAAACAGCATCCATCTGTTCTGGATCTCTCGATGGAGTTGAATATTCACTGCGAAAGGAGAAGGGAATTGTGAAGATGACAGTGCCAAGGACACTTGCTTTCTGCTATCTGTCATTACTATGGCAGAGAGAAACAATTACTCTTTCAGATCTTTTGAGGTAAGCTCGACCTCTCGTATAATGATGTCTTTGCTGATTATCTGTGTGAACTAGGGGACAACCTTTGGATATCTTGAATTTTACAAGGAGGCTTAAATTGAGGGAGAGACAGGAAGGATTGGGTAGCCTGAGTTCTAGTTCTGAAATGTAATCTTCTTCTGGCTGGTAACTCATCTCCTTGGTTTCCTTATTCATATAGTGCAATAATGCTATTTACCTTACACAGGGTATTGGAAAATTAATTATCTAACGTGAGTAAAATGCTCTAAAGATGAAAAGTGACACTGAAGTACCTTAGTGGTAGTATGAAGTGTTTTGCATTTTTCTAAGAGAGAAGATGAACAGATGACCTTCATATTGGCAAATGGTTACCAGTAGCTCCATAGTAGCTTTTACATTGGTGTCGGTAAAAGCTAGAATATAGGTTCTCTGTATTTATAAGATAAACTGAAAACAGAACTCTTAGAAAAACCTGTTAGTAGATGGTCAGTATTTATGTTTTTTCAAGATAATTTACAGTGTTTTATAGTTAATGAGTTAATTAGGGCATTGTGTATAAGACTTTCTCATTAAATAGAAGATGTGCCAAAATCATTAGTGTGTTCATATTTCCCTTGCTTTATATGTATTCTAAATAATAACATTTGGGTTTAGTTAGTGTGTGGAGTGATTTTAAGAGCACAGATTTGGAACCGGACTCCTGGGTTTGAATCCTAGCTGTGCCACTTATATGTGACCTTGAGTAAATTATTTAATTTCTCTTTGCCTCTGTTTCATCCTTGGTGAAATGGAGCTGATAATAACATCTACCTCACAGAGTTGTAACTACTTCCAGTAATTACTACTGCATGAAAAGCACTCAGGACAGTGCCTAGCACATAATAACTCAATGCTAGTTATGAGTGTTTTGTTTTCATCATCATCATCATCATCATCAGTACTAGGCCCTTTGATTAAATAAAATGCCTCCAGTAAATGATGATAGTGCCTTTGAATTTGGCCACATCAACCAAATAACAAGGCTTTTCTCAGAGGTGATTAATTCTGCATGCAGGTAGTCCATTATTCAGGGAATTTTACTGTTAAAAACCTCACCTTGCTCTATATGCCTTCATTGGGTGATCTCATCTTCTCCCAAGGCTTTAATTACCATCTATATGTTGATGACGACGCCCAGATTTATTTCCGCAGCCCAGACTTGTCTAGTGAGGGTCAGACCCATATATTCATACGTACAACTGCCTGTTGGACACTACTTGGGTGTCTTTATGATATCTCAAAATCAGCATGATGAAAAGAAGTCCATCTTTCATCATCTTTCTCCTTAATCCAGCTCCTTCTCCAGTGTTTTCTTTCCTCTGTAAATATCACACACTCCGTTTCTTCCTATCCAGAAACTTAAGATTCATCCTTGACTCTTTCCTCTCTCTAGAGCTACAGTCAGTCATTACATCCTGTCAATTATACTTCCAAAACAACCCTTGAAACCATTTTTCTCGCCATTCCCTCTATATCTTCACCTGGATTACTTAGCACCCTCCCAAGTGGGCCCTGTGCCTACAGTCTTGTGCCTCTCCTATCCATTTTCCTTTCCATAGCACAGGAGTCTTACAGAAACAACAATCAAATCACGTCACTAGAGCTGGGTAGAGGGGCTGTCCAACTACCCACGGCAATCTGTAAGGGAGTAACGAGACTCCTAGAAACCTAACAAGATGGAGAAAATGACGTTCACCTGTAATTCTTCTTTGGGAGAATATTAGATGTGGTTGGAAGGATAGGGGTAAGATCCTACACATTTGTCTTTCTCCCTCTCCCTTTCTGTTCCCCCTTCTTCCTCTTTCCTCCGCTCCCTTAAAGGAGAATTCTGAAGTGCCTTCAAGGAGAATGGATCTAATTAGCTGGAGGGCTTTTGTTTTGCTCTGTGGGATACACATTTGGGAACTGAGCCTAAGTGCTTGGAGCAACAGGAAAGGGGGCTGTTACCACCGATCCACTTTATTTTTCTCAGAGACGGAGCTCTAAGACACAGGATCTCAAAGTGTGGTTCCCTGACCAGCAGCATCAGCATCACCTAGGAACTTATGAGTATGTAAATTCTAACCAGATTCTAACCCATTCTAACCTGAATCAGAAACTTTGGGGAGTAGGGCCTGGTAACTCTGTTTTAATAAGCCATCCCGGGGATTCTTATGGATGCTAATGTTTGAGAACTACCACCAAACTGGGAAAAAGTATTTTAAAAACATTGGTGTGAAGGAAACACATTATTAGTCTGGCCCCAGTAACCCTATATCTTATACTCATCCTGCATATCATTCCCCAGGTTAAATCCTTTAGCAGTACCCATAGTCCTTAGGATAAATTCATAACTCAAAGTAGCCTTTAATTAACCCTGTCTGGGGAACTAGGTGGCTCAGTTGGTTGAGCAACCGGCTCTTGATTTCGGCTCCCCATGTCATGATCTCAGGGTCATGGGATTGAGCCCTGTGTCAGGTCTGTGCTCAGTGGGGAGTCTGCTTGGGATTCTCTCTCTCCCTTTGCCCTTCCTCCTGCTTGATCACTCTCTTTCTTAAATAAATTTTTTTTAAAGATTTTATTTATTTGAGAGAGAGAGAGAGAGCACAAGTAGGGGGAGAGGCAGAAGGAGAGGGAGAAGCAGGCTCCCCGCTGAGCAGGGGGCCCGATTCAGGGATCGATCCCAGGACCCTGGGATCATGACCTGAGCCGAAGGCAGACGCTTAACCGACTGAGCCACCCAGGCGCCCCTCAAATAAATAAATCTTTAAAAGAATAAAAGTAAGGAACCCTGCCTACCTGGTGATAGCAACAATAATAAATAAGAATAGTCAACGTGTATTCATTCCACAAATATTTATTGAATACTGACTAGATGCAGGTATTTTTCTAGAGTCTAGACCCTTGAATCACAGTTGTGAACCACAGAGAACAAGTTCCTGCTCTCGTAAAGTTCAAGACTAAAGGAGGAAACAGACAAGCATTTCAATAAATAATGATTAAACGGTGAAGTGCTATGCAGAAGATTGGCATCAAGTGATGGCTCCTTTAGACTGGTCATTAGGGAGGCCTCACTGAGGAACTCTTTGAATGGAAGTAGAGCCGGCAGGTGAGTATCAGCAGTCCTAGCGCTCCAAGTTGAAGGAGGCTGCTAGTGTCAAGCCCTCAAGCAAGAGCACGGTCTGTGATCAAGGAGCAGAGGAGGCTCATGCAACAGGAATAAGAATATGAAGGAGCAAGAGGACGGTGAGGACAGAGAGACAATAAGCAGGGGCCAGGTACAGGTCTTTGTGAGCCAGGCTAGTTTGGATTTTTTTTTTTTTTATTGAGGTATAATTCATATATGGTAAAATTCACCCTTTTAAATGTGCAATTTAGTGGTTTTCAGGATATTTACAAGGTTGTGCAACCATCACCTTTATTTTCAGAGCATAATCATCACTCCCGAAGGAAACCCAATATTCATCAGGAATTTAGCTTTTGAGTGTGATAGTAAGCCCCTGGAAGATTTTAGCAGGGAAGACATTCTCTGACCATTCAAGTAGCTATAAGAAAAATGGATTCTAGGGAGGCAAGGGTGAAAGCAGAGGGCCCAGGTGGTCTTTTGCTATATTTCTGGCAAGACATAGTGGTTTGGAGTAGGATGGTGGCAATTGAAATGGAACAAGGTGAATGGGCTCTGGGCATGTTTTGCAGGTAGACACGACCTAACTCCAGTGCAGTACTTCTTAAATTATCTGTGATGAACCAATCTGTTAAATTTCCAATCTATCACAGATTGAAACTTCTGAAAAATACAACAAAATTATAAATAGACACTCTGTTTTCAGGGGACATGGCCAGGCAGGGCATATGGGATGCTTTTAGTCTATGGTAAATCCTCTGTCAACTTCCTGGATTGATTCAGAGACTCATCTGATAATACTTAACAAAATGAAATCGATTATTCAGAGCTTTGATTCAATAGCTGTCTTTTGGAAAAGTATATATTTTTCTAAAAGGAAATTTTTTAAAAACCCACCAAACTTGAAAAGAGATTACGAGCAGCACTATTGTAAATGGTAAAAATTGTTAAAACCCCAGATGGCCAAGACCTTCTCTGCTTTCCCTGGTCAGGTTTCTCATTCCTTCCTCTGCTCCTACAGCGCTGTGCATGTGCCTCTGTGGGGCACTGCGGCACTGTCTTTACTGACGCACCCACAGGCTGTCTGCCTGTCCTGCTAGGGCCATGGTGGGGGCTTTTCATGTTTTATTGACTCTGAACTAATCCTCACATAGGGCTGGCATATGTGTATTATCATATGGGGGCGATGACTATGTAAATTATGAATATATTAACATCATAGAGTACTGCATAGTTATAAAATGATAAGCATGCAATACATCCTGTATATGAAATTATATTAAACCAAGAATGTAGTTCTGAAATAATATGAATACTGATTACGATGCACACATACTTTTATGTAAATGAAAGAAATGAATAAAAATCTAAATGAGGATGGTGTTCCCTATAGCGCTGTTCTAAGGAAGCCTGCTTTATTGTTAAACTTCATACAACACCATTTTTACATAAAATTTACTTTAATTCTCAACTTTCAGTAGACTAAAATAAAGAAATCACATTTTTAATTTGAAATTAAAGTTGAATCAATATTTGTTCACACACAGAAAGCTAGAAGCTAGATGTCAGTTTAGCTATAAGAATAACAAAGATTTTAATGCAAAACATTTGTATACTAACTTATTCCTGTCTTTATCTTATTTTCCTTAACCATTTTCATATTTTAAAAATCTAATAGATAGGGGTCCCTCAGTGGCTCAGTTGGTTGTGTCTGCCTTCGGCTCAGGTCATGATCCTGGAGTCCTGAGATTGAGTCCCATGCCTGGCTCTCTGCTCATTGAGGAGCCTGCTCCCTCTCGCTCTGTTCCTTCACCCTGCTCGTGTTCTCTTTCTCTCTCTCTGTCAAATAAATAAATAAAATCTTTAAAAAAAAAGTCTAATAGAGATATATATACGGCTTAGGTTGCAGTACCCCCATTCCTCACTCTGTGTTCTTCCCTGCTTGATTGTTCTCCTTACCATCTTTACCCACTTAACATACTGTAGATTTCATTCATTTGTTTTGTTTGCCATCTCTTTTCATGAGAACATAAAACTCCTTGGGAACAAGAATATTTTCCTATTTTGTTCATTGCTGTATGCCCACAGCCTCAAATAGTGCTGGGTTTTAGTACTTGATAAATTTCTGTGACTTAATGAATGAATTGTAAATAAATATATATGTGTATTTATTTATATATATGTGCTATTTTCTCCAAACTCAATTTACTCAAAATATTTGATCAGCTGCTATGTACTGGACGTTGGAATGGAGTGGTAAGCAAATGGGCACGGTCCCTTCCCTGAATTATCTCTAGGGGCAGGCATCTCCTGTGCACTCTCGGAGGGACTGAGGACAGGCGGGTAGACAAGGGAGGTGTTCAAAAAAGGAAAATGGACCCAGGGAGGGCTCCTCAAGAGAGTGATTTAGAAGAAGAGCAAATGTTCATCATGTGAAGGGAGCTAGGGATAGAAGGATGCTGTGTCTGCAAGCCAGGTGGTGAACTGACGAATAAGACACATACTTCAGAGAAATGTTTCATCTCGTTAGTCAGAAACTTAAGGTATCATTAGATAATTGGCTAAACGTTTTCTCCACACATGGGTGTAGAGAATAACTGATCTTTTCAGATTTATCCTCCTTAAAAACGTGGGAGATGCAACGTGCTCAACTGGTTCTCACCTGGTCTTTGAAACACATCTTCAGCTTGTTTGTCCCACTTTGCTAAATCAGTACATACTCTTATTGACACTTTCTTTTCGAAAATACAGATTCGTTGAAGAGGGCCATATTCCTTACATAAATGCTTTTCAGCATTTTCCAGAAGAGATGAAATTATATGGGCGTGACAAAGGAATCTTTGCTATAGAGGCAAGTTACTTTCTTTTTTACTTTGTAGTCCCTAATAAGATGCAAACGTGGTATGGTGATTTGCATTCCTTTCCTGACTTATTATTTGGTGTTGGGGGTTTTTAAAAATGGCATCTAGTTTTTGTTCTGCCCGTATGTAGAACATTAGTCATAATTTAATGAGGAATGGGATTATTATTTTTTATTTTCCTCATGTGGTCTCTTCTAATCCTTTAGGTTCTCCTGAACATACAGCTATGGTGTGAGGTGTGTGCACTGTCAATAGGTGTTTGGTTGAGACTAAACTTTAGAAGTTTTCTATAGAGACCTTTAGGTAATTTCAAATTTTTAAAAAAATGTTTTTTGTTATTTGCATACTATATTGCTTTTGAGAAAAGAGAAGAAAGTTATTCTCTTGTTTCAAGAGGTGCTATTTTAAGTTCTTTGCTTCTTGGTCTTTTTCTAGATCTGTTTTCAGATGTCTCCAATGGAAGGGCTTCTGTCCTTTAATTACAAGTCCTTATCACTATGTGTAGTGCTCAAAGATTATCTTCTCTTTGTTCTTTATCAGAAGGTTTTCAGTATGCTAAATAGTAACATTAAATATTATCCTGTTTGCCCACTTAAGGATTTATTTTTATAGGCCCTCCTAACCTTCACAGCCTTAAATTATTTGTGGTTTGATTCAAGAGACATTTGTGACCCCTACCAAACCCCTGCATAAGCGTGGTTCACTGTCATCCCAGTTGTACGTATGAGCAGACACCTCGGGGACAGAATGAACGCCAAGGCCATATGGTCGGTGGCCCCAGACTTGGAGCCTTTTATTCCTTGTATCATCTTTGGCTCTCTCTGCCTGCCATTCTGCCCTCCTTTTTACACTAGTTCTTCTAAACGCTTAAATCGGTGCTGTGAAAAAATATTTTTGAAGCATTGAGCCAGAAGTGCTGGATGATTGGCAATGCAGACAAACAAGCTTCCAACATTCCGTAACCTTTTACATCTGCATTGAATTTAGAGTATTGGCCTCTATGAATGATTTGTAGGGAACATTAGATTTTTAAGCCAGAAATGGCTCTACTTTCAGAACATCTCGTGCAGGAGCCGTTCCTGTGAATTTAGAGAGAGGAAGCAAGTTTGGAGGGGGGTCCCCAGGGCTGCTTCCTCGTCGTCACCATTTAGCGCACAGCCAGGAGAGCTGACAGGACAGCTCCACGTGCGCTTGTACTCGGGCAGCACAGGGAAGGGGGGATAGATGCAGCTACCACTTAACCTGGAAAAAACAAAGAAATAAGAATAATAATAATAGTGGTAGTGCTTATTCTGTACCAGGCCCTGTTTTACATATTTTATAAACTCCTTTATTATTCATATCAACCCTATGAAGTATGTCTTATTATTATTTTTTAAGATTTTATTTATTTATTTGAGAGAGAGAAAGACAGATGGTGACAGAGACAGCAAGAGAGCACAAGGCAGGGAAGAGGGAGAGGGAGGGGGAGAAGCAGGCTCCCCACGGAGCAGAGAGCCCGATGTGGGGCTCGACCCCAGGACTCTGGGATCATGACTTGAACCGAAGGCAGACGCTTAACCGACTGAGCCACCCAGGCGCCCCCGTATTATTATTATGCTTATACTACAGATGATAAAACTGAGACACAGATTAGGTAACTTGCCCAGTATCCTCACTCTGAACATAGTCCAGCATGGCTGAGGCAGCCTTAGTTTGGAGGGAGACAAAAAAGGTGGAACCATACCAAGCAGTAAGCGAGGGGTGAGGGGTGGGGCAGGGACAGCAGGGGCAGGAAGTGGAAGTAAGTTATTGAGGCAATACGGAAGCTCCGGACGTGGGCGGGGCGGGGGGCGTGCCTGGGTGGCTCGGCCAGCTAAGCTTCCGACTCTTGATCTTAGCTCAGCTCTTGATCTCAGGGCTGTGAGTTCGATCCCCTCATTGGGCTCCGGACTGGTTACCAAAACCAAGAGGTGGCCCTGTGATAGACATGGCAACCAAAACTGGAAGGCAGGGGACAGAGGATCCAGCCGGAGGATGGTCCAGGCTAGAAGTGACAGTGTGGCTACATGTGTCCTGGCATGAAGCACAGGCTAGGTAGCCAGAATAGGCTTCCTGAAAGATGGGTCTTTATGAAAATTTTCTTAGCTTAGGCAGGTTATGATTATTTATTTATCTATTTATTTTTAAAGATTTTATTTATTTATTTGAGAGAGAGAGAATGAGAGCTAGCACGAGAGGGAAGAGGGTCAGAGGGCTGAGCGGCGAGCCCGAAGTGGGACTCGATCCCGGGACTCCAGGACCATGACCTGAGCCGAAGGCAGTCGCTTAACCAACTGAGCCACCCAGGCGCCCTGATCATTTATTTCTAATTTTAATTTTTAAAAAATTTAAATTTGAGTAGTTGACGTACAATGTTACATTAGTTTCAGGTGCACAACAGAGTGATTCGGCGTGTCTCTGCGTTTGCGCTGTGCTCGCCACCAGTGTAGCTGCCATCTGTCACCATACAGTGTCACTGACCAGAGTCCCGATGCTGTACAGCTTATTTCGGTGACTTAGTCGTTCCGTAACTGGAGGGTTGCGATGATTTATTTAAAGGACTAGGGACACAGAGGACACATCCTGTTTTTCTAGTCAGCACTCCAGACCCCAACTGATTTTTCAGAGATGTGGTGGAATAGCTGAACTTGAGTAAAGTCAGGGAGATATTTACAAAGTACAGGGTGCCTCTACCACCTCAGGAGCCCTGTTTGCCTCTAGGAAAAGAAAAACACAAGTTTTTAGTTTCAGAATTAGCCTGCATTCGAGGTTGATTAGTTTTTCATCTTTTTAAATAGCATCCTGTGCTCAATGAGACACGTCTGGATTTCCTGGGTATGCCTCGGACAATACTGATGCTACCCTAAAACTGTCCCATAGAAGGGGTTTTTTCTTAATAATTGCTTTGAGAATCTGTATAATTCACTAATTAGTAGTATCAAATTTAGCTGCTAAAAAATTGTTCATGGCTAGACATTTAGTTCAATAATTCTTGGTGTGTGTCTTTACAGTTAAGTATTTCTAGAGGGACCAGTGGAACTCAGTTATCATTTTTGCATTCTCTCCAGTGTAGTCTTGGCTAACAAAAAATTCTCTCTCTTTCCTCTCTTTCCTCCCCTTGCCCTCCCCCGTCCTTCTCACCCTCCCCTCTCATCCTCCCTTCCTTCTCTTCTCTCTTAGCGTCCAGTCCGGTCTGTATCTTACGTTCTAACCGCCTGGGCTTTAGCCTGATTTCTCAGAACCATTCACGACTCAAGTTATAGTGATCATTTTTGCTTGGTTTAGGTTATTTGTACTTTTTGCTGGTGCCCAAACTTACTTATATTTAACTCCCAAGCCAGATTATAAGCTTCTAGGGATAAACACCAGAATCTTTTACATGGAATCATGGAATATTAAAGCTGAGGGAAATTTAAACATGCCTTAGTCCACGTTTCTTAGTTTTTCAGTAAGGAAACAGGCTTAAGAAAAAAATCATTTGGGAATAGGTAAACCTCTACCTCATTAGGGTTTTCTTGAGGATTATTTGAGATAATATCTTCAAAATACAGGTATATCATAGACATTGAAATGGACATTCCTTCCAGGTCCCAGGATGGAAAAGCTTTTCCTCTAAGGAAAAGATTAAGAGTTATCTGCAAGCTACTCAGAGGAAAAAAATGTATCATTTTTGGAAATTAAAATTTTCATTTTAAAGCTCTGTTAAAAACAAAACAAAAAACCTTTGCATATGCCCATTTCTGAGTTTGCTACAAGGGAGGTGCCAGGAAGTTCATGGATATGACTCTTGCTTTTTATTACAGTGTTTTATAATTTTGGTTACCATAAATTCAGCTTCTTGCAAAGGATATTGCTCCCTGGGCTGAGTTTATATGCTTGGAAGTGGTAGCTAACCAGTAATTTCCTTTTGAATTAAGAAATTTGGTTTCACTTTATACTCAAATTTCACTCTATAAAATAATTATTTTTAAAAATATATACCTTGTCCATTCAGATAGTAATAGATCCCATTATTGCCACATGTTGAAATGACTACAGGAGTGACTTATAATGCACAGAACCAAGGGACTGCTACGGTCATAGCCAGTGTGGCTTATGTTTCCCAGAAGCCTAGCTCAAGCCTTTAGGCAAGATTGGCTTTGCCCACCTATAGGCAGTGTGGGAAGGAGTGCCTGCAATTATAGCCACATTTATTTCTGGTGGTGATTCGGGGTTTCAGCCTGAAATATTATGTTCTCACTGTGGTATCAGATCTAGACTGTTCTCTGCCCCTCCTAAATTTTTGTAATTTGAGACTTAAATTTTATAAATTAAGAAACAAAATTCATTATTTTATATTTACTTGCAAGTTTTATTTATGCTCTGAAACCATTCAAATACTAATTTTTACTCATCCTATCAGTTACTGAGAGAGGTGTGTTGAAATCTCCAGTGTCCTAGGATTACAACTTTTTCTTTCACATTCTATCGGTTTTTGCTTCACGTGTTTTGGAGCTTAGGTGCATAATAATTAGGATATTTTGTCTTCTTGATGAACTGACTCTTCTTACTATGTAATGTCCTTTTCTCCCCTCCAGTAATATTTGTTTTCATATCTACCTTGTTCAATGTTAATTTAAAAAAAAAAAGTTTGCCTAATATACCTTTTGGAAATCTTTTATTTTTAACCTGTGTCTTTATATTTAAAGTGGCTTCCTGGTAGACAGTTTGTAGTTGTCTTGATTTTTTTTTTATTTATGCAGTCTGATATTCTCTGCCTTAGAATTACATGTCTGACCATTGACATCTAATGTAATTATAAATCCTGCTGTTATTTGTTTCATCTAGTCTTTATTCTGTTTTTCTTTTTTTCCCACCTTCTTTTGCATTGACTTTTTTTTTAATGATTCTGTTTTATCTCCATTATTGATATATTAACTATACCTCTGGATTTTTTTGTGTGAGATTGTTCTAGAGTTTATAATATTCA